TGGCCCTGCGCCCTCCGGCACCGGGCGCGGTGAGGCCGCGGCGCGGGGCCGCTGACGAAAGGCGGCGATCCCCGACTCCGAGGCGGGTATTGCCGTTCCGCAGGCTGTTTCGGGAGGGAGAGCTCGGTGGGACCACCTGATCCCCAGTAAGAATTCAATTAAGATTTTAATGAAACCCTTGCAGAGAGCTGGGTCGGGGAGAGGCCCCTTGAAAAAAGGCCGAGCGCAGCAAGTTTGTGCCGCGAGCCGCGTTGCGATGCGCTGCTCGGCGTCTGTGGCTTTCTTCCCTTCATCTCCAGCCAAGCCACTGTCTCCAGCTGCCTCAGACGATTGCTGAGTCTCCTAAAGGCCCAGCTACACAAGAGGCTCTGAGGAGAGTTCATACGGCTTTTCTCTCACCGCTGGTTTCTCCCCCGATGTTGTCTCCGTCTCTCTCAAAATCCAAGGGCATCTTAATGTCTTTCTGTCAGCAACAGCAATAAGTGCTTTAACACAAGTATCTCCCGGCTGGGCATTTTCTGCCGTCCTGGCCATCCACACTCAGCTTTTCTATCATATGTCTGCGTCTTCTCAAAAAGCAAATGAGTGCTTTGCCTGTTTTATCTGCTTTACAAAACTGCCCTGGCGGGCGATGGCTGCAAGTTACTTTGTTTCTCAAAGTCCAGGCACAGATTATTTTAATTCGGCGTTAAAAAGTGAAATAGTCAGAACTGAGTAATATTCATCCACAGGTACCTACGGACAGGGACCCTCACTCCCTTTCCAGCAAAACTACCAGCCCTGGGTACGCTGAAAGGCATGAGCACCACGTGGGGTGGCTGCTTCCATCGCCAGGACACACAGACTTTTGTTTGCCTGTTAGCTAAGGCATAATCTGGAAGAAGCACATGCTGTGGAGGAGTAGGTGATTAATGCCTGTGAAATCCTGGCCCAGAGAAGAGCCAGCCCTGCCAGACATGATAATGTTGTCCTCCGACAAATGGTCATAGCTTGGCCTTCTTCAGATAACGATGTGGTTTTATGCGTTAGCTTCAGATACTGATCCCACCGGGGAAGGGTTCCCTGTCGTACAGCCATCCATCCCACCTCCTCAACGCTCAGCTCTCAGAGCTGATGGGTTTTGGCTATACTTCTTCCTTTCGTTGGCACTTCCGCATAGACTAACAATTACAAATACGCATTTCCATTTATCTCGCACCTTTCAGCTGCAAGTCAAAGTAGTTTACCCATATGAATTAAGCATTGCAACACAACAGTTAGATATGCAGGGAGTACATAGGGATCACCCAGTCGGCGCATTGCTGTAACACAGCTGTTTCTTGTAATGTGGCAGATACTTAGCAGAATTCAAGAATATCTAAACAGAAACTTTGGACCAGCTGTTTTCAAACTTATTTGAGTCGTCAATCCATAAAGTAGCCAGCTAGAGGTGTGGGCCCCAACACAGCAGACTCAGGAACGGTGATGATAGGCTTGGTTTTCGGAGTTGCAGGCGCTACATCACCTTTGGCAATGAGTCTAGCATAAGTCCTCAGCCTCTTATCCCAGCCCACGCAACTCACTGCCCTTGCAGTGGCCCTGATATGACTGTATTTTGAGCCAGACTGTCTACTGGATCAACTGGATCTGGATTTTTGTACAATGTTAAACTTTTTTTTTCTTTCTTTCTTAAAAACACTTCAGTCAGTACCATCAGCTCCAGGTTCTTAAGACCTGGCTCCCGGGGCTCTCTTGCCATCCTGAGGATGGGCAGGAACCGCAGCCCAGCTGCTTTCCTGCAGGTCAAGGATGAGCAGTTCAGCCAGCAGAGCTTTCCCGGGAGCTGTTCTGTGGCAGAAGTAACTTACCTCATGTTTATGTAAAGCTACACCATAAAGGTGCTCATATACTGCTGTCATCTTATAACCTCTGTAATCTTACGTAAACTTTTAAAGGCATATGTGTTTGTGATTCATCCCAGAAACCTGTGGGGACAGCAGCACTGTAGAGGCACGTTAGCTCAGTTTTGAAACAGCTGTGCGCTCTTAAACAAGCACATCCTCAGAAATGCCTGCAGTGCTGAATTTCTGCCTGACATTGCTCAGGCATAATTGGTTATGTCAGGTCTACTGTAAAACATCATAAAAATGGAACTTCTTCCAGGAACAACTGAATTCTGGTAATTTCAAAGTCACATACTTTGTTTCTGAAGTTGAGGTCCTGTTTCCATGCTATACCACCCTTACACATCAGTTTTGCAGGACTGGGCACTAAAGATGGGCAGCATGTCATCTAGGTTGAAAGGTGGACACATCTAAAAGGTGATTCATCCTCAGAGATGAGTCACTCTGTAAGTGTGCCGGTTTCTCTCCACTGACCGTAAAGAAAATCTGCGTAAATAGAGACATCTATGTTGCAGCTTTACAGAACCCCTGAAAGAAATCTGACCTATGACTTTGTAACTTACTGAGAGAGGATGCTGAGCTTACGGGCCATTTGAATGAGCAGAAACCCATTCTTAAAACTAACCTTTTACATTTTAATATGGTATTTACCACTTGTGCAGCAACCCCAAATCCAGATTTGGCTAAGCAGTATCTCAGGATGCCTAAATCCCACAGTTGGTGTTTTCTGTCTTTATCCTTACGTAAGAGAACCACCACCCAGCTAGCAAGCCTGCTGGGAGGAATTTGGAAAAGGATGCTCACAGGCCAAGCTTAAGATGTGTTGGCAACACTGTGCATGTGGGCAGTTTACGTAGCCCACAGTCTAATTTTGGCTGTAACTGCTACTGCTATTAGATTCTCATTATGCACTGGTGTTTGCATGCATATGGAACAGAGGCTGTACCATTTAATTACATCTACAGCAGGGGAAATGTCCCATCACATCTCTAACTACCAACCTAATTTGAAACCCTCTTTGCTCAAGAGCAGGTAATCCCACCCTTGCCCCTCCCTGCTTTTGGGACTGCATGAAGTTATCAAGTTGTTTTAGAGAATTTCAACAGGCAGCATAAAGGCTTGAGAGCTGAAGCTGCTCTGAAAATAAAAAATTATAGTGTGATGCAAATTGAATTGTACCACTGTATCTTTTAATTTCTGGGAGACTGAACTGAACATGAAGGTGAAGATGGTATGTGGTGCAGACTAGCAAAGAGCTGTTATCTGACTCACTGCAGGCTTCATGCATTTGAAAAATCAGTGTTAAAAATACCTGAGCAATAAATACACGGTGCCTTTAATACCTTGTCTGCTCAGATGGCTCCCTGCTCCCTGTCATCCCCCCCAAATTCCTGCTGTCTTGTTCTCAGACCTCAATCTACACCTAAATGTTTCTCAAAGAGGAGCAGCACTTTGTCAGTTTTCCTTGCATTCAGGTATGACTGTATTGTATTGTATTGTGCTGTGTTGTGTTGTGTTGTGTTGTATTGTATTGAACAAAGTACCCCAGTCATTTATAAGCCAAAAACTCCTGAGTTCCTTCTGGGGCTTTAAGAAACCCAGCCTGTCCTTATGCCTTAGCATGTAGTTACAAGAGACTTCTGCTGTGAGGAAGTGCTGGTTTCAGAGGCCCCTGCTGTCTCTTGCCCCAAACTGCAGTCCCTCCCTGCCCCTGTGAAACAATTTGCGTTTAAACTAACCATACAAGAAGAAATCATTTCAGTGATCCAGCTTGTAAATGGGCACCAAGCAGTGTGACAGAGGGGAGCAAGCTGCGGCTGAGAGCACAGGATAGGGGATTTTAGGTAATTTTGCCACCAAAGCCAATATATCATGTAGCTACACCCTTGCTTTTCTGCCTGGGGAAACACAACTACAGTAGCTGCTATTCTGATTACCTGTCCTCTCAAGTGTTATATATCTGTAGTTACTGCCTGCACGGGCATCAGCAATGTTTAAATTTGTACCTTGGAGGCTCACGCTAGAAGAAATGTCAAGAATACGGTGACCGTAAAGGAGCACGGAATGGGAGCTGTGCCTTGCAAGGTGTAACACCAGGACACAGGATGTCACAGAAGCAGACGCAGTTCATTGTTAATGTCATCTTCTAATTCTCTTTTTTTCTTTTACTTTTAGTGTGGAAACAGTAAATGATGGGCAGTTTCATAGTGTGGAACTCGTGATGCTGAATCAAACTCTGAACCTGGTGGTGGACAAGGGGACGCCCAAGAGTCTAGGAAAACTCCAGAAACAGTCTCCTGTCAGCCTCAACACACCCCTCTACATTGGAGGTATAGTGAGTTGCTCTGGACTTTGAGATTTTAGCATGTCTTCTCAGAAGCAAATCATCTTCCATCCTCTGGAGAGGACTCTCCAGGGGCAGGGTGCGGAAACTAGCAGTTTACATTTCCTCTCTGCCAGAGGTTGCTTCCCTGAACAGAGAGCCTGGAAACCACACCTCTGCTGTTCTGCTTCGTACTCCATAGTCCACTAGCACCCCACCGCATGGCCAGCACAAGCTCACACACCACACCAGGGAAGTTAACCCCAGCACAGCGCAGGCAGTTTCTATGTTATACAGTCATGGCAAGAACAATCAGTTTGTCATTTCTAAAGCTTTCAGAACTGGCTGGCACCAAGATGTCGTGGTTGAAGAATACAATGGAAGTGTCACAAACAGTCACGGCAAAAAAGCAAATCAATAGTCAGTAGGTTTAAATATACCATAAATGAGAGGTCTTTCCACTGGAAATTTTATAGAGGTCTACAATTTTGGGGAGGAAAAAAAGATTAAAACCTCCAAACCATGTTAACACACAAGCTGATAATGAACTTCTTGGCTAATAGTTTTCTCACGAGAAACTGAAGCCAGAGCTTCAGTATTAGAAAGATATTAGAATTGACCAAACTTCAGTTAAGTTTTTTCACATTCAGTACTGATTTTGGGGGGAAGGAGGGGCCAAGTGGGGTGGGGAACAGATGCCCAGAATAATGAGTATCCCTGTGATTAGGTGTCTGGATATGTGAGACAGCATAAAGGCTGTGTTCTGCCCAATTGATTTGTTTTTGCCAGAACCCCCCACTAGGTCTATTCTGGACTGAATGTTGAAATCTCTCCCTTTGGGTAACACGGAGTTCTTGAATTTTTCAGTCAGCCTGTTCTAAATACAAAAGTCAGCAGAACAATAATAGACTGAGAAAGTCTTTGGGCTTTTTCTAATGAGATCATAGAAGCCAATAGTAGAAACTCTCACCAACCTCACTTGGTGTTGGTCACGCCTTTTGTAAATAATTACCTTTAATAACACTTTCCTAAAAGAATGCTGAATGTTGCACTTGTAAATCAGAAAACTGGCTAATCTTGCTTTGTACAGAGCTGAACTTTTATAATTGGCTCCTATTAAGAATGTCACAGGCTATTGAAGAGCATTATGAATCAAAGCTAATCTGCTGTTGAGGCCATCACAATTTCTCCCTCCAGCGCAGCATAAAAGATACCAACTCCGCAGCAATTTATACACAGGGAACTTGGGAAGTAATCACATGGAGAAGTTTTGTTAATGGATGAGCATTGTGGATCAATACTAATTCTCAAAAAGTACCTACAAAAAATGCATTCACAGGACAAACCTGAGACCTGAAATAAAGGACTATTGGATACCAGATGTCATGGGCCCAGTGGAGACTTTTTTTATTGCCCATTAAACCCTCACTGTCCTGCATGTGCCACCTCTCTGTGTGTAGCATTCCCATGGATGCCAGCTGCCCTTCCACTGCAGACTGTTTAATTAAAGTAATTGATTAAATCATCCCAGAGCAATTGTTCCTAACCTACACTAAGCTTTAAGACAGACACGATTTTGTCCATCTCTCCAACTACATCACCTGGTATAGCAACTTTCCTCCTAACACAGGTTTAAACAAAGATGCTGGTTTTGGTTTAAGACCATCTTTAACAGTGGAGTTACTTATGGATAACAAATTCAGAGGCCTTACATGGTTGAAAATGGAAGCACTTGCCTATGCTAATGCATCTATACAGCCCAAGAGGATGTCAGTGGGGAGGGCGTAACACAACATCCAAAAGAACCTCCTGGCCATCTGAGCATATGAACTCTTCCAAGTGCTTTAGCAAAATGGAGGGTACTCACCACAAAGACTTGGCCTGGCCCCCCGAAGTGCTGTTCCCTGTCTCTAGTGTTTACCTGCACTAGTTTCGGTGGGGTGCACTCTTGCCACTCCTCATCTTAATGCTGTGATCTTGTAATGCCTAGCTATCTTGCTGTATCCCAGAGGTGGTGGCTACCTGCTGTCAAGTAAATACATTCTCAAACCTTTCGGAAGGATAATTGCTATTAAACTATAGACAGAAGGAGCATTATCTAAGGACAAGAACACATGGCCATTGGCCAAAAAAAAGGACTTTTTCTTTTTCTTGTCCTATACTTCCTACATAAGCTTGGGCAAGTGATTTTATTTTTGTTTCTTTCCATTTCCAGAATGAGGACAACGAGACTGTGCTACCTTATGAAGGTCCTATGCAAATTAGTTCTTTAAAGATTATAAGGGGCTGTGACAAAAGAAACATTAGCAATTATAATTTATGTACTATCATTGTAACTGTGAGTAAACCTTCCCTTTTTGTTTTTATCTGAAGGGATCCCAACCTCTACGGGATTATCTTCACTGCGCCAGGGTGCAGATAAGACACCAAATGGTTTTCATGGATGTATTCACGATGTCCGCATCAATAACGAGCTGCAGGATTTCAAGGATTTACCACAGCAGTCACTAGGAGTCCTTCCTGGCTGCAAATCCTGTAACATCTGCAAGCACGGTATTTGCCGGTCCCTAGAGAAAACAAGTGTGATTTGTGAGTGTCACCCAGGCTGGACAGGCCCCCTGTGTGACCAGGAAATTGGAGACCCGTGTCTTAACCACAAGTAAGCTTGAATGAATGCTGATGGGGGGTGCGGAAGCTTTACAGCTAATGCATATTTCACATTTCAACTTGTAAAACCACATCTGACTATTTTTGGAGGTGCTGGATTCCCACATGAAATTATTGACAGTTGTGAGTCAGCATCCATGGCAACTCTCAATTTCCATGTCTTGTTCTGATGTTGCTCACTCTCCAGATGAGCTCTTTGTCCTAGAGGAATTAAGGTGTTAATACTTCAGGTCATACTTTCAGATGTGACTCTAGGCATTAAAATATGAAAACTCCTGTTAATGGGTATGGCTTATCTCTGAGGTGGTGAGTGCCTGCACTTATTCAGAGCAGAGCTACCTGTGAGCAGGAGGTACACATTTTAGGGATATGCTCACAGCAGCATTGGACCCAGTATTCAAACTAACTCCCTGAAAACCATTATGCACTCCAATGTGAACAGTTTTAAATTTCCCAAATAGCTGACTTAAATATTACAGTATGAAACACCCCTTTAAAGTGCAAGTTTAAAGGATAGCATGGAGTTGCATGTGAAGGGAGCATAAGTGTAAAGCATTCACAGTTCAAAGGCTCAATAACCACATCTCCATCAGAAACACTGGATGAATAGCTTGCTTATGGCAAGTACACAAGGAAACAGTCCAACGCAGACCAGCAGCCTGCTTAGTTCAGTGCTGTTTTGTAAGCAGATAGAAGTACTTTTGTTTTAGAAGCTACTTTGGTTGCACTACCTGTGGAAGGGGCTTTTCACAAGCACATACTTTTGACAGGTAAATTGACACAGTGAATAATCACTCTCTTAAGGGCAGAAATTTAACTTGGCACAGGTACCATTTTAGACTTGCTTCTGAGTCTAATTCTGCAAAGTACTGAACCCTGGAAGGTGGTGAGAAGCACCTGAGAGTTTACAGACCAAAGGTATGAAGACCTAAGTGAAGAAACACTCAGAGACCCAAATGTATCCTTGAATTTCCAACATCAGCATGAAGCTGTTGTGGTTGGACAGAGAAAAATAAGGGAGTTCCAGATATTTACGTGATGAGGGATTGTTTCTCTCATAATCCAAGGAGAGTGATGCAATCATGAACATAGCCCCCTTGCTAAGGAAAGTAGCTGCACGTATTTTTAATGCTCGCATACTGTCCCACCTTTCATTAAATTAGTTTAGCCTTTTGGAGTTGGCTCCTTAAACCCAAGCCCTTTGTGTCCAAGGGAGTATGGTGCCCTGCGGGTAGGTGCCTGCTCCAACACTCACAGATTAATCTCAGTGAGGAAATACAACTGTAAAGAACAGGTAGTTGATAACAAGAGTAACTATCCAAGCACACCTTTGGTTAGTGGGGCAGAAAATACTACTTTGTATAGACTGTGACTCCCTTTATTACAGTATTTTGCATGTCTTGACGTGACTGAAACTGCTTTTATTATTTGTGCTTTTTAGTTCAAAGCTTAAAAATGAAGTGTACAAGGATTCAACATAAGCAGGGAACAATTTTAATGTACCAGAAAGAAAATAAATAAAAATAAGACATGGGTTTATGTCAAGCAGGACCTGATACAGCAAAGGTTTATAAGCCCTGAGCAGTTTTAACTTGGCTGGACAGTGTTGCTTTCTTCCCTATCCTCAGTCCATTTCAAGTCTGTCCCTATCACAGAAGTGGGGATGGTGTCAACCTGCTAAGGATCAACACCCCTCCCTGTGGTATTCCTCAGAAATACCAAAGCTCACTGCACACCACAGCAGCCAGGGAACCCTTGAACTACAACTGGCCATCAATAAGTCTATGCATAGCTTTTCCACAAGCACCTTCGTTTATCACACTGTTTTTCATCACCTGATACTATTTGTAAAGTAATTCTGCTAAGGAAGCCTGGGCATGCAGCTAGATTGTTGGCACTTAGTTCCACGTGCTGATGCTGTAAATGTGAGCTGTCTTGTGTTGATGCCAAACGTTGGTCCATGCTCACGGAGCCTAATGTTTTTCAAAGAGATCGCTTAGGATCACAAATTCTAAATGTATTCTCTGAACGTTATCCAGTATTCACTGAAAGCTCACAGTTTCTTCAGAGTGTTTGACACTGAACTTCTGTTTTTAGATTAGTATCCTGGAATAAAATGGGCAGAAATGTCAAAACCAAACAACCCTGAGAAAAGGAACTTTCACGTCTAACACAGACCAGCTCTAAATGTTTCTCTTTCTCCAGGTGTCTGCATGGTAAGTGCACAGTGGCCACTGTTGCTTACACCTGTAAGTGCATGGAGGGCTACACAGGCATGTACTGTGACAAGAAGAACAATTCCTCAAATCCCTGCAGGATTTTGAAATGCAACCACGGGCAGTGTAAAATTTCCGAGCATGGGGAACCCTACTGCGAATGCGATCCAAACTATAGTGGAGAACATTGTGACAGAGGTACGCTTGGCTGCAGGGCCCAGGATGCTGGTCTGCTGCATTTCTGGTTTACACCTTTGTTTTCACCTCTCTTCCATGTGACTTGTACTTGGGGGTAAATGGCAAAGAGTAGAAGATAAAGCTAAGTCAGCCTCTGCAGAGCAATACAGGGAGGAGAAAAGAACCACACAACAGCTAGCTAGCTAGCTACTATCCAAACATATGGAAAGGGGACATCTGTAGTGAAGAGTTTTATTCTGTCTCCTGAATCCTCAAGGTTCGCTGCTCCCAGGATTCTGGTGGGATGTTTGAAGGAGAGTTTGTTGTGAGGTTTACCCTCAGCAAGCAGTGATCAGTTAATTGCAGTGCTGGGAAAGGAGGTCTCACCCTGCATACCAAGGGCTTTGGTAGATGACATGAGCAGGAACTGGAAGGCAGGAGGTACTGCTCATCTGAAGTGGCAGTGAAAGTCCTCGGCTTGCTCCCTCTGATGCAGCTGAGCGGGTTTCCTGAGGAATCCCACAGATCATGCTGGACTTTCCTACTTGGGCAGCAGCCCAACTCTTCTGCCCTGACCTGAAAACACTCACTGGAAACTCAGTGAGTTCTAACTTCATCCTTTCTGCCTCTTTTTGTTCCTGTACAGAAGAAAGGAGCTGGCTTGTATTATTTTTATTTAGGTTGTGCCTTTCTTGTGAATGAACCACAGACTTTCCAAATTATACACATATACAGCCTCACCAAAATGTATCTGGCTGCTGCAAAGTGTCTGCAGAACAGCACAGACATTTTCAGGTATCCCAGATTGCTAATGTCAAGCAGAGCAGGCTGACCTTTGATCCTGAGAAGCAGAGGTAGTAAAACTAATTCATATTTTGCAAGAGTGTTGCAGGATTCAACACTCAGCATTCATTAAAGCACTTCCAGAACTGCTGATCAAAGCCAGCAGGCCTCCTTGGCCTCTGCCTTGTGCCGGATATTACACATTTGTGTAACACAAGCTCTGTTTTGATGGCAGGTACAAAGCAGTGAAAGATTAAGGTCCTTCTAATGCCATCTGTTTGGCTTGAATGTCTTTACAAGTAGAGGGCTGTTTGCTGATGTTTGGGGAATATCTGGCAAAATAGTTACCACATTTATTTTTTTTCCTTTACATCTCTGTTGTCTTACCAGAGAATCTCTGCCAAGGAGAGATAATTCGAGAAGTAGTCCGTAAGCAGCAGGGCTACACATCATGTGCTACTGCCTCCAAAGTACCCCGTCTGGAATGCCGCGGCAGCTGCGGCAACGGGCAGTGCTGCGTTCCTCTCCGGAGCAAAAGGCGGAAATACTTCTTCCAGTGCATGGATGGCTCCACCTTCACGGAAGAACTGGAGAGACATGTGGAATGTGGCTGCTCCAAATGCTTATAAGCCATTCTCCAGTCTCTTGCCACTTTAATCGACTCAGAAGCGCTATCAAAACGGGACCTATTTACTTTCAGAGTGAAGAAGAAGAAAAGAATTATTAAGTATATTGTAAAATAAACAAAAAATAGAACTTATTTTTATTATGGAAAGTGACTATTTTCATCTTTTATTATATAAAGTATCGCACCACTTTGGGTATATGTATCATATAGTGAGTTATTTTTACCATGAAACTTTTTTAACAGTTGTAAGAAAAAAAAATTCAAAAGTTAAAATTTAAAAAAAAAAATATAAAGAAAACATAGCCTAACAGGAGAAATCCGGGGGTGACTTTATAGTTATGCACAATGAACAAATGTAAAGGTGTTCCAAGGACCTGCCACAGAACTGATACGGGCTGAAGAAATCTCTGAGGCTCTGGGTGGGTCTCCTAAGAGAGAGGATCCCCATGACTGACAGCCATCTCGCCTGCTCAGGCACCCTGAGAAAGCCTCCCCCTCGGTCCCTTGCTCTGCCTAACACTGCCGACGCTGTTTTGTTCCTGTACAGTGGCTCCGCTTGCTATTCTTGAACTGGTTCCCTATAGCACGTAGGCACTGCCATAGCTTGAGGCTAACTACATTATTTGACTATTGTAATACTATAATACATTTTTTGCTGTGTATGTTGTATTTATCTGTGTTCACATTGTATTCTTCAGCAAATGTATCTATAGAGCACAGGCAGCTCTATCCAAAAGAAGGGGACGAAGGGAAAGGAAGTGGGGAAATATGTGTTGCTTTGGGAAATTTGGGGGCAAAATGTGAAATAAGTGCTAAGTAATGCCTAATAAATGACGTAGTACTTTTGTGTAAACTCCTCAGCTATGTTATTTCCCAAGTTTGTGCCTTTTTGCTCCCAGCCTTGAGCCCTTTTCTGTATATGAAATATAAGGAATGCACTGCTACATAGTTTCTCACGCCTTGACACTTTAACTTGCAAAGGTTGTAAAGAGCATGAAAGTATTGCAGGTGCCAGACGGTACCTGCAACGTAATGGCTTTTACTCCCACTGTCACTTGAGCCATGGGTGTAAGCTGGGCGGTAGCTGCCTGTTCATCCACACTCTGGTACTGAGCAGTTGGCTACTTTTCCACAGCTTTTTAAACGAGCAGAAGTTGCACTATATCCATGTGAAGGTATTCAGCCGACATTTGTCCACCTTAGCAGCACCCTCTTCTCTGCACGAGGAGAGACGTCACAGCTCCATCCCGTCCTGTTCTCATGTTTGGTGCAGATTGACCAATTCAGCCAAAGCTTTTCCATCTGCACTGCTTCATATCCTGCACTTGTGCCTCCCAAAGGACTCCCATTAACTTTAGCTGTGTTCAGACCCAACACTGAATAGGAAATGGAAATCAATGCAGGGATAAATTCTTACTGTGAATGTGAGGCAACAATTGACTCTCGGAGGGAGTTTGATTTTTGGAGAGTTTTTGGCAGGGCTACCTTTCAGGGTCAGTAAGTACGTGCAAAGATTACCATGGATACCTTGAAGTTTTTCTTAGGCTCAAACGTCCCCATCAACAACTGTTCCATTATCAGTGTAATTTCTTTCTTTCCCTAATATAGCAATTATTATGGTCCTTTCTTCAGTTTCTCTTTCTCTAAGAGAGGTTAAGTCAGTGATGATTCCTAGCAGCCATAAACTCCTTTTGGGAACGCTCACTGGTCTCACCAGAAAGATCTCAGATCAGGGGCTTCGGCAAAGGCTGAGTAGGAAAGCTGAATCAAGAAAAGGGGGCTTTTGTTTGACTGGGGCTTTGGAAAGATGCACAGAATGCAACCCTGCCGTGACAAGTATAAGTGTTTATTTCCCATTAAAGTGTCCATCTAGTTATCATGCAACCAGAAAGCTCTAACATGCTTAGCGGTTTTCTGCCATGTCACATCTCTCCTTAACTGCAGCAGTTTGTTCATATTTGTTTGTTACTACCAGAGCAACTTGAGCAGAAGGGACATAACCAATACAATAGCCATCTCATAAAATAAGTATCAGTGTGTGGAGCCTGCAATCAGTGAAACATGAAACAATCATTAGTTAATGTGCTAAACTCTCATTGAAACCATACAGCTCAAGAGCCAGGGAAAAACTAACCCTGGCTGCAAGTACTGTGGGCTGCTTTTTATTTTGAATATAACATCAGAAGCTCATAGCAGCTGGAGTTTGTGGTGTACAACAAAAACCACCCAAACCCACAACCTACACATTTTAAAAATTTGTGCAAGTAACTGCAGGCACTTGGGCAAATATGTGCCTGGCACACCACTACCATTAATGTTTCATTCCAGCTTAAAACACTTTAATTTCTAAAGAAGCAGCTGCTATGGTGCCAGGCAGAAGAAATCCAGACTGAGCAGTGGCTTACAAGCCTTCTGTGTGCTCTACTGCACTATTTGTAGCCACTAAACTGCCAAGGCCTGCAGAAACACGGCCCCTCTTGAACATCACCCAAAACGGCGTTCACGTTGCCCCTTGAGCAGCAACACGTATGAGTAGGAAGGTGACATTTACTTGTGGCCTCGCACCTGCTGGAGGGTGCTTTAAAAGGAATGACCTTGACTGGCAAGGCAAAAGCCATCAACATCTTGTTAACACATCACTCTGGGATTTATTTAAGCAAAGCCTTGCAGCAAAGAGACCAGCAACAACTCAGCAAGGCTGGCCTTGTTCCTGGCCCTTTTCTGTCATGGCACTTCAATGTTAAGCGTTGGGATAAAGAACTAAGAATATCTATTTTGTAACCAAATTATGCAAATTTTGTATGCTTTTAGGCAGCACTTGCCATTCGATAGTGATGCTTTATGTCAATGATTCTCTGACTTGCTATAGAATTATTTTATGTTAAGAAGAAAATAAAAAGCATTCAGATGTGCCAAAAATGTGAGGTTAACTGAAGTGTAATTAGCTCTGAAAGTTCCTCTGTAACCTGCCTAATGTTACAATAGATTTCAACAACTGCGGGTACAATGCAGTAGTTTTTACCTCTATAAAGTTTTAATATAAAGTGAAGAAAGATGCTTATCCTTAAAAAATGGCAATGCAGACTGGTGTGAACTGATGTATTTTATTAATAGATTCTCATTGTGATGTAAGTTTAAATAAATTGTTGGGTTATGGAAGATTGTAACACACCTTGTGACGCAGATTATTTCTATGTGGATTTGAGTTGTTGAGTCTGACCTTTTAGAGTTTGTGAGGTAGCTCACGGAAAATGATGGGGGAACTACACACGTTCCTCTTGGACAAATCCAGTCAGAGAATGGCTGTAGTTAAATGTAGTATGAACAGTGGTTACATATTCTTATGGCATCACAACCTCGTCTTCTAGGAGTCTTACACGCACAGATGAATTAAGCCACATAGTTTTTGAGCCTGGGCATTTTCTTCAGTGAAATACTTTATTTGCTGGTTTGGGTTTTTTTTAACTGTTTGAGAAGGGCTTGCAGCAAAATACACTCATTAACTAACGATAGAATAAATGAAGAAATATTGGGAATTGGGGTCACAGAAGGTCTGACTGAGGAAATGGAAGTCACACAGCCAACAGTGGATGACAGGGATCTCGTGACGTCCTGACGCACATATATTCCAAATTTGCTGCCACAACTCTGTAGCTGATCATTATTGGTGACCCAGATGTAACGGACCTCTTGTATTCATTGCATTCCAGCCTTAGCATACAACAAAGTGAAGCTCCCACCTGTAGTCCTCAGCCTTCCCTCACCCATGCCCCTGTGTAACGCTCACATATTGCTAATTATGCTTCAAACTACAGCCCTTACAGTTGCCTTTGCCATTCCATGCAAAACTGGTGACAGCACTCAGCCAATAAAAACACTCAGCCATAATGAGCATCATTAAGCCTGAACTATGAAGGTTAATTATGTAATTGTAGCAGATGGTAGCATTTTCACCTAAAGCAAACCCAGCTGAGCCCACTAAAAAAGCTAGCAGGAACTGTTCAAAAATTTCTAGGTACTGGCTGAAGGAACTGGTTTGCACAACAGTTATTTAGTATTGCTCGTGGATTTGCAGCGCATGGATTCCTCGGTGAGCATTCAAGCAATCGCAGCCCAAGGGTAAAATGCTCTTGTTTGTGCTTCTGCTTGCAGTGCTGTAGGAATTGCTTTTTAGCCATTAGTCTGAGGCAAACAATGCAGAGAAACTGTCTATTCCGTGTCCTTTATCTTTGGTTTTTTTACAGTCGGTGGGGAATAGTTAGATGGTGTTGCTGTTTGCAGGGTGTTTGGCTGCAGGTTTTGCGTTGTTCTCTGGGGGTCCTGTCGCTTCTGGTCTCTGTGACCTCATTTACAAATCACTCCCAGTTCCTACTTCAGCTTACACAAGATAGCCTTACAGTTCAGTGGGCTAGACAGGCAGAACTGGCTTGGTTTTGCCAAGCCCATGGTGCTCTTGAGTAATCCCTTCGGCTTAAGGCCCGGCGAGATATTAGACTGGATCACTAGGTAGCAAGTCCAGTATCGTTCTGTGCGTGAGCTGAGCCAGAATGTTTTCCAGGATGTGCCCTATAGCTTTCGAGGACAGCCGAGGCGCACGTCAAATGAATTGCCCCAAACTGGCCCTTGGGCCCCGCCGCTGAAGCAGGACAGGAGCCCAGAGGCGGTACTGCCAGCCACGGGTAGGAGCCTTCAGGTTCTACGGCGCACACCTGCATCCTTCAGCTCTGCTAGCCCAGACCCAGCGCTGATCCACGCTCGCGCTGCCACCGCACGTCTCTGCCCCACGCCGGGGCCAGACCCTGACGCCCCGGCACTGCCGCGGGCCCTGCTGGCGTGGCCACCGCCACCTGTGTCGGGGTCCCCAGGCGAGTCGCTTCCCCCGGCTGAGGCCGCTCTGTCCCCCTCCCGCTGCTTGGCTTGCGGTCGTTCGTTTCCTCACTTGTAGGTACGGTTATTCGAAACACAACGAGAGCGCGGACAAACGCCACGACCAGGGCAGCCCCCCGACCCCAACGCGCTCCGGCGCGGCGCGGGGTCCGCCAGCAGGTGGCGCCGCAGGGCGCGGCCCGTCCCGCTCCGCTCGGCGGGGCGTCTGGGAGCGGAGCGGAGCAGAATAGAATAGAATAGAATAGAATAGACCAGCCTATTTCAGTTGGAAGGGACCTACAACGATCATCCAGTCCAACTGCCTGAGCAATGCAAGGCTGACCAAGTTAAAGCATGATATTAAGGGCACTGTCTAAATGCCTCTTAAA